TTTCATGCTATTTAGGTTACAGTTATTCTTGAGGAAATAATAGTCTACATGCTGCTGTGAAGTATTTTTCTTACTGGTGATTACATTTATGTAAGGGGACTTTGGATAAAGAGGCTTCCCCTCCATAATGTGAGTAAATTTTTTCCCGTCAAACAAAGCTTGTAAAAGAAAAGATTTAGTTTCCTGAGGTACAAGAGACTCACTGACAGACTTCCTTTGAGCCCAGAACTTCTAAGTTATTTTTGCCCTGGGAAGCCAGATCATCATCCAACACTGAAGACTCTTGACTTCAAAGCCAATAAAATTTATGAATTATTTTTACAAAACAAATATACCTTTTTCCTATTTACATATAAAAATTTGTTGACTTTATTTTTAACAAAGTCAGTTAAGGAAATAGAGGTTTATGACTACCATTCTTAAATTTAAAACAAATTTAGTTATATGATATATAACACATAAAAGTGTATGTATTTATGTGGTACCAGTCACACACACACAGAGACACACACACACACACACACACACACACATCTATGCTTTAAATGTTTAAATCAAGGTGTCAAAACTCTACTAGAATTATCATTTTAGTGTAGCGGGAGCCAATAAAATGAGGAAAAGTCTCTACAGATAAATACATGAAATAGGGGAACTTGAAAAATTAAACAGCAACAAATCAAATCAACCAATTAAAAAATGGGCCACAGAGCAAAAGAGAGAGTTCCAAACAAAGATGAAAAGAAAAACAGATAAACCAACAAAGAAATAAAAATGACTGGGACATATTTTAAAATAGTCGACATCTCTAGTCATCCAAGCAATGCAGATTAGAGTTATTGAATTTTCTCTTACCCCGATCATAAAGCTAAGATAAAAAAGAACATGAAAACAAATGCTGTTGTAAATGCGGAAAAAGGGGAGCACTTATTCAGTGCTGGTGGGTATGCAAAGTCGTGCAATCTCTATGAATGTTAATGTGGGGATCCCCAAAAAGGTAGAAAAATATCTAGTCAGTAGCTCATCTGAGAAAGTATGACTGTATACCCAGAGGATTCTATATCCTATTACAGAAGTATCTGTTCATCTATATTCATTGCTATTATAAAAACAACCTAGATGATCAATTAGTGACTGCCTATTAAAAATATGGCAAACTTAGGAATAAATATGGTACATCTGAGCATGAATCCCAAACTGGCCTCAAACTTGTTGTGTAGCAAAATGTGACCTTGAACTTCTGACCCTCCTCTCTCCACTTGTCAAGTGCAGGAGTCATAAGAAGGCAACACCAAACCGGGTTTATGCAGAGAACTGAAACCAGAACGTCTTCCATGGCAGACAATCACTTTACCAGTGTATCCATGTCCCCAGTCCTGAATTCTCTATGTTAACAACCAAATATATTTGCAAACATTGATAAAGGACACCTTGTGTGTGTGTGTGTGTGTGTGTGTGTGTGTGTGTGTGTGTGTGTGTGT